GATTGCTGCGGTAACGGCAAACTGTTCACACACCGCGTCCAATCAATATTACTTCACCAACAACCTTTAAAAAACCTGTGTACAATCCCCTCCCTCGTTACGAAGATCCCAGGGAACTGTTGACCCTGCCCCAAGAAAGACGATTGCTGCCGAACGTTGACCCAATATGCTATAACATAGCATAAATACACATCGTGGAAGCTGCAATGAAAAACACTAATACTAATAGGAATGGTAAGAAAGTCCTGAGCCGATTTTTCGAAAGCTCCAGAACTTTCGCTTATTGATCGATACCTAGAATCTGCTACGTGATAGATTATCGCTGTCGATCATATTTCTAGCGAAGAAAAATTCACCAAAGTTGAAGACGTTGAAGAGCGGTCAGCGATTTCTTTGACTCTCAGTCTGCTCAGTTCTGGGAGAAGGGGGTCGCTGACCTGCCCATTAGGTGGGACTCTGTAGTGAGTAACAATGGTGATTATATTGTTGAGTAGATTCCATTGTACGCGGAATAAAAAAGTAAAGCACAAAAAAGTGTCAAACGGCTCAGGACTTTCTTACCATCCTAATATAATCATGCCAAGACTAATTGTGCGTCATCCATGGACTGTGATGCGTACTTCTATTGAGAGTGGTCTTCTCGGTCCACTGGCTTGTTCTTTTTCGCTTTTCGCTTTGCACATCACAAGCTGCAGCTGACGGCTGTCCACTTCAAGGTTAAAAAAACAGCCAATCACTCTCGAGGCGTTGAAACCTGTTTGTGAGAGTACGTTCAAATACCGTTGAATTACCTTCCACTTCACAAGTTTCGAGGGCACCTGATTTGTTCGGAAGCCTGTTCGAGTCGAGATCACCTGGCTGGTAAGCATTCGGAACCTGTCCGTTTTTCCCTTTCACACATTCACGAATGTCACGATCGTCTTGCAAGTACGAGAATCAATGACAATGTGGATTTGATCAGATAAGAATTCAATAGGACATTATTCTTTCTGATCATGAGGATTCAAAAATGCGGTCTTTCGCCGGTCGCCCTGGCCCTCATACGGACTTCATTAACCCCCCCCCCCAAAAATGTCTTACGAACCAATTTTCATTGCAAAAACACATAAAAGGGATTGATCCACTCCACCCATATTCCTCTCCATGCTTATTAGTGACTTTTCGCTACCTTTCCCTGAAATTATCGATGTCCCTCCCCCACTCCCATCCCCCTTTCCCCAAATAACTTCGTGGCGCAATTTTAAGGAGTCAAACGCCCCGAACCGGATTTCTCTAGAAGTTTTGAATTTCCTCTCCCAAAATTTATTACATAGAGCGTAGCAAATGGCTATTGCATAGGGCTGTATAGAGGAATGTGACAGGTGAGAAGTTTGATTTCATTTCGGCTGCCTTCGTCTAGTTCGGTGAAGGAAGGTTTGGCTGTCGTGCTACACCTACACGCAGTGCTGTTTCTAAATGAGTCAGTCACTTCACACCAACGCCAGATATTCTTTCGTCCACCGAGGATCTCTCTCCTGCTAACAACAACCCCTATAAAACAAAGGCTAGCCTTAGCTGACATTCACAAATGTGGAAGGTTTGAAGGAGCATGTACCATTTGATGACCTGCGGAATGACCCGACACTTAGTCATCCATATAACTTCAATACGAATCACCGAGAAGAAAATAGCGAATTGACGAAACGATTCGATTAAAAACCAACTGTGTAGTCAGCTGAGCCCACAATTTCTTATAGAAGTGTAAGGCGTGGCGCACCCGCACACTGATCATGGCCAACTACTCTTCTTGTTGTTATCTGTCTCTTGATTTGAAGGGATTTGTAAAGGAAATTAAGTTTGTTTGATTACAAGTAGCAGGAAGTGAAGGTCACGGAACGATCCCTTCAATGTGAATTAGTTACCATTTACGACTAACACATTGGACATACAGAGGATTTGAATGACAATATCGTGTGACAGCTCAGTCTAATGACACGCATGCCTCTGTCCGGAGCGATAACGAGGTCACACCAACACCCTTACAGTCTAAAGAGACAGATGTCACTCGTTCCTTTGACCCTGCGCCACGCATTCGACTTCCAAAACAAATCGTGGTATCATTCACCGTGCCTACCAGGAGTCTCAGGTGCTAGCTGATGTCTGTGTTTCATCCATACATACATTTCTGCTTTTGAATGACCGAGCCAAAGAACAGAAGAGTCCACGTTGATCTCCTTGTAGAAGTTGGAAGCATGGCGCACCCAAAAACTGATCTAAGCCGGCTACTTTTCCTTTGGGCTCTTCGCTTGATCCCAGAACGCGTAAGAGTGGTGTCACTTGTCAAATCACCCTCTCTTCTTTAACAGGCTTATATTAGTGAACGTTCGTCGATACGCGCGCTCAACTCCGTACATCTTTCATCTTTCCCAATCCGTCGGAGGTTGAGTAGAAAAAAATGCGGCTTGGCTTCGGACCTGCTGAACGATGAGAAAAAATGTGCGCGCCAAAAAAAAGCTGCCAAGAGCGTGCCGCCCTCATTCATCAACGTGAGTTCGGAGGCAATTCGCCTACACAGTTGCCCTCGTACACAGGGACACGCACACTAACACTAGAGTTCGTTGTGAGTATTCCGGGCTGTGCAGCGCCGGACATTGCTATGCTCTGAGAGCATCTTGATGTTAGGAAAGCATGTAACTGCGCTATTACACCGTATTCGTCGTGGTATTTGTTGTGGTCGCCAGAAGAAGGTTCTAATGCGGACAATCACCGTATTTTGTGAAGTGCAGCGACTCAGGTAAGCGATCCTTACTAGTAGTACTGTAACAACTGGATAGATCACTACACAGTAAATAATGTAATATGTTAATGTTCTGTGCAGCAGTTTTACGCGTGTCCCTTCTCTTTGACGATTCAGAAGTGCTAACGCAACATCTGGCCGTTTGCCATAAAAACCAGCGGCCGTTTAACGGGTGATTCGTTTGGCATTCACGATATTGTCACTGGCCACCACCGATATGGCTGCTCCACTAGCCAGTGGCCTCCTCTTCACCAAATACTGCCTTTCTGTTGCCTCTTTAGACAAAATATGACTACTATTTTTTTGAAAATTGAATATTTCCATGCGATGGGATCAAGCAGGATTGAACCGAATATTTGACAGTCTTTTGAATTACCTGTGTTACAATTTGTAAGTGCACCATCTCCTACAAACCATGAAGCGAGATATTGGTATACGCATAAATAACCCCTGTAGCAACCGAAGGTAGAGTATGATTGCCTATTCCTTGATTTTTTCCCAGTATCGCAAAGTTTTGAATATTCAGGTTACAGACTAACCGTAGAGCGTTTATTCATAGTTCTTCAAAGATGTGACGGGAGACTATTTTTAGCGCCGAGTCAGTCGGCTGAAAATAAACTAAAAAGCATAAATAATATTGATATGTGCCATAAATGCTTGAGTAAGCCAACTGTTTTGCAGCGTCAAGGGCTCACCCATCCGAAATGCGTAATATCGCGAATTCCGACACCCTCAATAATTCCGCTACAAACGATTGCTGGGTTTAACTACCCATTACACAAATGTACCGAGTATTAATACAATAATATGGCTGTGGCTGACTGCTAGTAACAAGTATGTATCATGTCTAGTTGTACTTGAGCAAGATGAAACAGTCTTGCTAGTTGAGTCGACTTGGCCTGGAGTGGTCCATATAATTAACTGTCCCCAAAGTTTGAAATCAAATAGCAATTTTCCGCCGTCTGAATTCCACTTCGATCGATTTTTGAGCTACCATTGTCTGACGGACAGTGGGTAGTTCGGAGGCAACAAGGACGGACGACCGATGGATGGGTGGTGCGCGCCTCAGTTTGCGCTAATCTCCAAATAGAGGACGTTCATCGCCGGCTCATCAGCGTTGTCTCGGTCCTCCTCGATCTTCTACAAGCCATCATGACCTCTACTTATTTATCAGACGGATTACGTTAGAATAGTAGTGGTGGACGGTTGCTGCTACTCTTCGCAGTACACAATGCAGCTGTCCACTTTTTCTCGGACCTAATCGAATTAGTCAATTTGCCCATTTTTTTCCTTCCCACTGGGAATGACCTGATCGAATAGAAATCTATTGTTCGCCGCTCATGATACTCTAGCAAATCTTTCTGCAGTTTCGTTTTGGCCCATTTCTTCCTCCATTCTGCATTTCAATGTGAACTAATGACTTCCACAGTCTGCAAAACATTTAGCCTACTTTCTTATCGTTGTCAAACACTTTGAAAAGCCAGATTGCTATTGCAGGTCAAGTTCATTAGGTCAGAGACATTACCATCAGAAAAAAAGCCCATTGTGTGTTTTTCACCTTTTCTTTTTTTTCGAGTCGCTGGAATTGGAACAAATTTTGATCGATGTGGTACTGATTTGGGTCAGCTGAATATAATGAGATACCCCTGGGCCGAATTCATTCGAATACACACTTTCTTGACGACATCTGCACCGTTCTGTCAACACGCACACATGTGTATATGTGCGGCTATCAGTTGGTCTTATGAAAATCGTCCGTACCACGTGCGGTGCTACCTTCGTAGCCAGACCTACAGCAAACCTCGATTACTTTTTGTACCCCAACAGTTGTGCAGAAATTGGCCTCATGCTGTGTGTTGGCGTCCTCCATTGCACCTTTCGTGGGCAATTTATGGCCAAATCAGTTGTCGGTCGATCACTCTTACTCGTACACTGGAAACCAGTTCAGCATGTGCATGATGAGGGGCGCTGTTGTGCGACGCGCCCATATCTGACTTGTCCTTTGTGATAGCCCATGGCATTCAGTGTCAACTTTTGGGTGTTTACTCATTTAGCAAGTCACCTGACCTCTTCATCGAGTCGAGTCTCCCATCTATAAGTCCTACCGTAATGCGACTGAATCCCAGAATTTGCACGTTTCAGTTCAAAGGAGACTGCTCAGAAGACGATCCTCATCGACAGTGCTCCACTAAGAGTTCTACACGAGAAGGTGTCACTAACGGTTCAAGCTCCACAGAAATCCGACCAGGTTCGTTTATTTGAGTGATTCGATACCATCACAGTAGTGTGACATATGGTTCTGTATATTCAACGTATGATGTGTTTAATTTCGCTACGCACGCAAAACTTCACAAATCCCACGCACTCGTTTGCGTGTAAACTGGTCAGTTTATGCATCTGCTATCTTCCGCCATCGCATCATCCCGCTCTATAAACGTGCGCACAGCGGCTAATCGTCTCGGTTCTAGTGCTTTGCAGTAGAAAGCCCATTGTGCCTATCGAAAGCCTCCGGCAAAATCGCTTCAAAAAACTCGCTTTTCCGAAATTCCCCTAAACGTTTCAATAACTGAAGGAACCCCATCAATAGCTGAGTAACCCGGTAGCTGAAGCGCTTTACGTCTATTTAATGAGGAACCTCTGGATTCCAAGGGTAGAAGCAGGTTTTCATGGCCCCAGAGGGCTGTCCCACGCTCACTTCATAGTTGCACCTGTAGCAGAATGCAGCTTCAACTACCACTGCTACAACCCAGTTTTGACTACCTACGTGGAATCGTTCTCCGATGGTGACAACGTCAGAGTCAACTTCTCTGTCCTTCCGGTAACACAGCGGTGCCACTGTGACGGTCAATCATTTGATAGTCAATTGTTCTGCTATATGAGTTTTTGTACCAATTATGTACTCATGGGCGGAAGTGGTGTAGTGGCAAGTGGCACGCTTACCACGCGAGCGGTCCGGGGATCAAATCCTGGGTCGTGAGTCGCCCGGGCCAACCAAGCCTTCCATCCCTCCGGGGTCGGTTAATTGGTACCAGACTTGTCTGGGAGGATAAAAACACTGACTTGTACATCGGCTGGCCCCGCAAGTCATTGTATAGGCCACATCGCATTCAAACGCCACTACGAATGTACAAATGGAAGTAGAATGCGTGCCGCATCCCAAAAAGGGATTGATCAACGGCAAATGCTGCATATCCTTTATCCTTGTCCTTTTATGTACACATACTTAATGTGTTCTGCTTATACGTATGTACGCTTTACACTTATTTATATCACAGAACAATGGCTACTTATTCTAATAACTGTGATGTTTTAAGCGTAGAGTAATATGATCGAGATACCACTTGGAGCGTCCAATCCGTTGAATAATACGTCATTTCCTTTTGATTGAATAAGGTGGAGTGAGGGGGGATGTCTGACCGTTTTTTTTTCTTCATCGTTCCGCTACCAAAAATTTAAAGCAAAGGTTTCCAAGGTGTTTTGTTGAAGCATTCAGGCTCTCATTTCAGAGCTCTCTGAAATTCTCGCATTTGATAAGAAGTTCTATTGCTTTCTTCAAATCAAAGATACTTCAGTGATTCACCACAGTGGCGATTAATCATTAGAGGTGGTGGTGTTAACACATCACGGGAACCACTCCCCACTGCTACCAACCTTATTGCTTCAAAACTTTTACTATTTGCACATCATAACCCTCTTGAATTATGTTCTTGTATCCATGGGGACCAGGCTGTCTTCAGGAGGCTCAGACGAAAGCTCAACAAAGCAACGACTGCTCCTTATCTGATAGCGTTTTCGGCATCAATTCCTCCTTAGGGAGTTAGGTTGTGACGCTTTCCGCACCAATCGCTGGCCCTCGTTTATCTAAGCGTCCATATTTCGACACTCTTCTTCGCGTGTTTCACTATTTTACTCTTCTTGACGTGTTGAAAGTGCCAGTGGTCCATTTGGGGTGCCACCTATCAACGCACTCAATGATCTCCAGATCCCACTCCACTTTTCAGATGGAGTCTTTCCAAAACTCCATGCTAACGTTTGTTGTTTCAAAACTATTTCTCGGGACAAAAGATATATGACAGAATTGATTAAAATCCCGTAATTATTTTTGCTTCTAATTAAATATTGATCTCTTCTTTATTCCAGACAAACAGACCATCTTCAAATGATTCTGATTCGTCAACTATAAACTCAACAACTACTTGTGCTCAACTTGTGAGTTCGCAATTTCATTTCGCATTCATATAGCGTATTGCAAGAGAAGTAATCAATACATAAAAAGTCTTCGTTCAGGTTGAACAGAAACTTCAAGAAATCACGCAAGAGGTTGAAAATTTGGCCGCTGCAGCGACGAAAAACGCGGCCACATCGAAAGCTGAGGAGTACAGGACACAAGTAATACCTTATCGAAACTTCATAAATTTGTTAGCAATCAGTAAATGCGAACTGCTGGTAGTGACATGTTGAGCAGCAATCTCGAATATACAGTAGCGGTCAAAAGTGTTCGCCGAAACGGTTTTTCGTGCTTTTTCTTTTTTTGCCAGAAAAAAATCAATGGTGGCCTCGAAAATTTTTTCTTTTGAATATCCTGATTCTTAAGGTTTGAGGATATAAAATACTAGAAACATAACGTGTGAGTGCTGACAAGCTATGGTGAGTATACCATGAAAGCTGAGTTGGAATGAAATGGTGCCCCGGTAGCGTAACTGGTAGCGCACTTGCCCGGAAAGCGAGAGGTGCGGGTTCTAGTCCCGCCTGGGGCGAAAGTTTTGTTCACAACCCAGCATTCTTGTGAAACTAAATATATTTTATACGAAGTTATTACGATTGCATAGGCAATTGTGGGAAATACAATCGTAATAAATCACTCATGATACAATTAAAACTCATGAATAAATACAATGCATAAATTATATGTAATAATATAAGATAATATTATATATAAACAAAAAAATAATTATTGTAATTAAATACTGTAATAATAATACAATATATAAGATTGATATACAATAAAACAGTATATCAAACTTTAAAGGAGGCCTTGCTCAAGCGAGGAAAAATAATGCACTGAAAATAAATTCGGCGAACACTTTTCACCGCAACTGTATATCAACGTTTGGCCGATGTCATAGTTTGTGAATCTAGCGTTGCGCCAGCGAGTCGACCGATGCACCAGCGAGTCGAACTAGGTACCAGCGACTCAATAGTGGCGGGACCCAACGTTCAAAAGGAAAGCCCGCCACTTTCAAACAGTGTCACTTGACAGTGGACGCTGTTTCAAACAGTGGCGGGACTTGACACCACCGATCAACAACAAGGAGGAAATGAAGATGGCAATGAGACTTATAGAAATGTGAGGCTGTGCTACGTGCGAGAGGGAAGTCACCGTGACTATGAGAAGATCATTCCCTTCCCTCAACCCACTTAAAAGCCCACGTAGCATACCTTCCTCATTCTTCCGTTCTCAACCATCCCGTCCTCCCCTTCCCCCTCCTTTACTGTAGGACGGCATAGGTAGGATGCACTTGCTATTTAACAATGTTGTGTTGAATTGTATTGTGCAATGTTTTTCAGTTGATCTGAAGAAGGGCTTAGGCCCGAAACGTTATCAGTAAAGTTTTATGAAAAGAGTCTTCGATTCACATATATCCTGCATCGCTAACGCAAAGTTCGACTCGATCCAGCTATTCGGTAGCGAATCGCTCGATTCGCAAACTACGACATCGGCCTTTAGCTTTTATGGCCCTCATGCGCCAGTTCTGCCAGGTCAAAAAGTGCGGCTGACAATACCAAACAAAAAGCTAGGATATTCCCATTGAAGCTTAGCGTTAGGAATCCACTTATGAAAACAAGTAAGTCCCCCTGGCTATTTTATTCTACTAGTGAGAACGAAGGTTTGTAGGTGCCCCTGTATTATAGATTGACAACGTAAGAGACTCGTTCTGACCAGGGTTAATGCATTAGTAACTCGCTTTTGGAAGGAACTCTTCTATATCTTCCTCGAAATCGAGATAATTGATCGCTTTTTTCTAAGCCGATGGGTCGGTTAAGTGTTCGAGTACTCGAAGGACGTTTTTTTTTTCAAAGAAGATGTTTCGAGAAGAAAGTGGAAAATCAGACACCCACTTTGCCAAGCATCCAAGGGGAAATTAGAGGGTCGGGTTTAGAGTAAAAAACTTGCGCTGCTTCACCAGGCGACATGTGAGGAAAGGGGAGGTTCACGAGGGACATGCAACAAGGGGAGTCATGTTGGTCATTTCGCCCTCACCCGCTCTATTGTGAAGCATGCACTTTTCTAGTACCGTATAAGACTCAAAAGGGTGCGTGGCAAGCGGCGCCCCTGAGTTCAGTAAAGGGATAGAATCATGCACTGGATCTCATCCAGAGACATCGAGACTTTCATCCTTAGATGTTAAGCTGGAGTTAAAGGATAAAGGATAAAGCATTTGCCGTTGATCAATCCCTTTTTGGGATGCGGCACGCATTCTACTTCCATTTGTACATTCGTAGTGGCGTTTGAATGCGATGTGGCCTATACAATGACTTGCGGGGGCCAGCCGATGTACAAGTCAGTGTTTTTTATCCTCCCAGACAAGTCTGGTACCAATTAACCGACCCCGGAGGGATGGAAGGCTTGGTTGGCCCGGGCGACTCACGACCCAGGATTTGATCCCCGGACCGCTCGCGTGGTAAGCGTGCCACTTGCCACTACACCACTTCCGCCCCTGTTAAAGGCACAACCCAGGCAGAGGGTTTTATAACTCTTCTCTTCGGTCAGAAGTATAGAACCCTAGGGGACAATCACAAATGTGGCGTTCACGTGCACGGAATTCGACCGACAAGAACGCTTTGGGCTTGCAAAGTAAGCTGCTCGAGCTGCAGCGAACGAGCTCTCTTATCAGGCCGTTGTCTGGTGCTCTCTCATCTGATGCGCTCTCTCGCCCCATACTCTCCTCTTCGCGCTTAGTCTCTCGTTCCTTTAGCACAGCCAATTAGGAAGGTGAGTGAGCCCTCAACCTGAGCGTTTTCGACGGATTCTTTTCCTTTTTTCTTCACTGCCGGCCCACTTGGCACCGATACATTCACATTCGTGTGCAAGAGCCACACCAGTGCGATCCTGGGGCATGCCTTTAAACCCATAAGACTTAGAAATTAGCGGCAAGTAGAATGCGTGCCGCATCCCCAAAAGGGATTGATCTACGGCTAATGTTTATCCTTATGCTTTATTCGGGCACTGTTTAACCCAACTGAAGCAGAAGGTCACAGCGATGCAAAATTCTTCAAAAGCTGACGAAACTTCGAACTCGCTTCGGTTTTAAAGCATTTGCCGTTGATCAATCCCTTTTTGGGATGCGGCACGCATTCTACTTCCATTTGTACATTCGTAGTGGCGTTTGAATGCGATGTGGCCTATACAATGACTTGCGGGGGCCAGCCGATGTACAAGTCAGTGTTTTTATCCTCCCAGACAAGTCTGGTACCAATTAACCGACCCCGGAGGGATGGAAGGCTTGGTTGGCCCGGGCGACTCACGACCCAGGATTTGATCCCCGGACCGCTCGCGTGGTAAGCGTGCCACTTGCCACTACACCACTTCCGCCCAAGCTGGAGTTAGACTCCTCTGATATGAAAACACTCAACTTTTCGATGGTTGGCTGTGCGCCCATAAATGGGCCACCTACCTACATATCATAATAGAAGGGTGACTAATTAAGCATTCTTGGCTAATCAATCCCTGGTTGAAATGTGCCATGAGCTTTACTGTCGATTAGATTGGAGGTAGATTTGAATGCGGTAGCGTAATCAACGGTTATTAGGGCCAGTCGATGTATAAGTCAGTATATTTTCCTTTCAAAAAGTCTTGCCCTAATTTCGGGACTATGAAGTTGAAGACCCGGTTGGTCTGGGAAAATCTTATGTGAGATTTGATCCTGTCCGTACACATAGTAGGCGGCGCCGCCTGCCATTACCCCCCTCCCCCCAATTCATGCGTTACAAAAATCTAATATGTCACTGCAGTTTCGAAAGGAACTTGAATTTCCGGGATTTCTTACTAGAAAACACCTGGTTAAGGCTTGTCATGAATGATAACGATTCACCGCGAGCGTTCCTGCAGAACAATGGTCTCAGTTTCAATGAATGCTTGTTAATACAGCGTGATGAATCTGTGCTTATTCAGCGCGCAACGTCTGAAGTGAGCTCGTCATCCTTGGCCGCATCTGAAGGCTATCGTACGCCGGAGCAATCGTTACGAATCGAAATTGCAACTCCACCCGTCACAAAACCTCGCCAGATTTTCTTGTCACCAAACGCTTCGCTTCACTTAACACCCAATTCTGAATCATCACAATCACAACGTCTTCCACCACCGCAACCACCGCCAAAACCTTCTGTCGATCTGAGATTACTAGCTGAAACGACTCATCGGCTGATCGACGAAGCCGCAGAGATCCCTGTAATGCAACGTGCACCATTACCGGAGAAGAATCGCGAAAGCCTCGCCGATCGTCTCAGTAAAGGTATGAAATATTCTTTACACTCTACTTCTCTGTAGGAAATCAGCTTAACCTATCTTCTAGGGATCCATGACCTTACGCAAGGGTCAAGTGACCGTCTTCAACGCTGGAAGAGCAAGCTACAGAATGGCAATCCCTCCAGAAGGCAGAAAGACCAAAGTGAACCGCCACCGATCAGAAGGTGAAAAGAACATCATTCATAATGCCTCCTTCAACTCCCTAGACAAATTGCCTCGTACATAGGGCTTGTAAAAAAATTGTCATTTTTTCACCCAGCCAGCAAAAAAGCGCCTCTGTTACACTTAGTCGGTGTTGGCTTTTGTTTCTTTTTCGCTGCAAGTGCTACGACAGTTGTACTCCCTGCTCAAGTACAGCTTACTCACCTTCGAACGTTTGCAGAAGATCCCAGATTTATTGAAGAAGCGCGAAATAATGACCAACTGATTTATTGCTTTTTGCCCGTCGAAAGCTTAGAATTTGCTCCTCCCATCTCACTCGGCCACGACGCCCCACGGGATTTCATTTATTTTTTCCAGCGCTGCATCTCAGTGATGTGCTGTTCCACCGTTCGCTTTACGTTATTATTTATAAATTCCAGAAAAAAAACTAAAATTAAAAAATGAATTTTTAAGGCTGCCGATGCGTGTGCTAGACTCGGACCCAGTGTGTGATTGGAGTGACAGATACCCTCGCCCTCTTCATCCCTCACGCTCCGCTTCCAATGCGTTACAGATCAATCACTTCACCTCCGGACAGAGTTTTGGGTACGTTTTATTCCATTTTTCCTTTTTTTAAAATCCACTGCAAGAATTTGCGAGCGAAATTCATTGGTTCAATTCTCTTGAGAACAGATTTATTATTTGTTCACTGTGATGCGGTTGGAGGCCTTCAGCCTCCTGAGACAGCAAAGAAAGCCTTGTTGAGCCTTGCAGACCCGGCTCCTCATTTCCAACATTTGGTCCATTGCTGACATTCACTTTCTCGGTCTGACCCTATCATGTTATCGTTTAAACATTTCCCACTTCTCTGCTGATAAAGCCAGTGAGATCAAAATCTTCTGTACCTCAAGGTTAGCTGCAGATGGTTCGCGACAATAAAGGTATCCAACTAAGTCACTTTGTTATTTGCACTCCTTAGTGTCACTATGGTCAGGCTCGAGGGGATATTTTCCGAGTAATTCCTCAAGTCCTATGGCTGAATGAACTTCTTTCCTTTTTTCCTTCTTTGTCATTTGGTTTGACGATGTATATTTGGAATTTGGTGTAATTTTCTGGTGTCTGGGGGGGGGGGGAGTGGGAGGAGCAGAGAGGACAGGTTGAGTTTTCTCAATAGCTGCCGCCTCCAATGTGATTGTGAATAGAGGACCACTTGGCAGCCATGCCTTTTTTGAATTGTAAGGTGCTAGACTCGTAGCAGTCGATATCTGTGCAGTCTTATCTTTATTTATTTATTTATTTATTTATTCATGCGTGCAGTTGACGCGCCTAGAAAGAACAAACAATAGAAAACACTGTGGTTAGTCAAAGGACGGTAGCCCCATTATCTTAACAGAGGCTATTGAAACTACAGGATAAAATGCCTCAAATAACCTTATTCCCTCTCCTGCATTCATGAATAGAACCAACTTTTTACTAAATTTTGCGTATAAATATAGTTTACTTACTAAACTTGATGGATACTGCCCCCATCTCGAATAACTTCATCACAAGCGTATAGAAGAATGTAGAAATTTTCTCGGGAGAAGTAAAAACAAATTTTGATGAATTATTCAGAATTCGCATGTATTGACTTCTCAAAAAACAAAAATGCTCGAATATAATAGTTTTCTCTGATGCGCTTCCAGGTTGATTGGGGCACGGGTTTGATCTCTGAGCTTATCGCAGTGTTATCTCCGCTGACAGCTGCCTTCCTAAGCTCACATGTTTTTCACAATTGGTCCATCCCATAACAATTATCACTTCAGCAAACAATGCGATTTTGCCAATTGAAAACCTAGCCTACCTTCGACAGTGGCTATTTTACAATGGCTAGAGGAACATTTTTTGAGGGAGCATTTTTTGGAGAAAGTCTTGATGTCTTGAAAAAAAAGCACTTCGTTTTCTCGAATTTCATTTGCGTCCAGTTACCGTAATTTGAGGGGCAGTACAAGTGCACCCATGTGAACTTCTATCTATACAAAAACTGTAATTTTCTTGAAAGGGAACCTGAGCAGTTAACAACTTCGTCTTCAAGCGGTGTTGCTGATGATGAACTTTGTAACTGAGGCATTTATCGGACTGCGAAAAAAATTTCTTGCATAACTACAGATCATCCTGCAGGGCCCAAGGTTGAATACTCGGTTTCATGGAGACTTTTTGCTCATTTTTCAAAATTTAAATTGCTTTATATACTGGGATGAAATGTTACCGATTCACGCTATGCAATTATGCATAGCGCGAAAAAAAGGGCGCAGGCTGTACTTGAGTCCGTACATGGGGGTGTGTGCTTCCCGGATACTGTGCTTATCCGTAAGGCAATACAGTACAGTAAGGCAATACAGCCGTAAATATACGAAATTCACACAATAAACTTTTTTTTTCGTTTTCTCGCTAGAATTCCGTTTATTGGTATGGTATCCGGAATCTGAAGATACTGTGGAATTCAAGTCGACAAGATCTATAATTGTTGCGTTAAACTTATCTTACAATAAGACGCCTTTTGAACACAGGAAAAGGGGATGTTAAACTGAATGACCGCGCATTTAGTCATTCAGCGCTTCAAAATGAAGTGGAGATCCTAAAATCAGAAAAAAATACACAGTTAGTATCACAATGTAACAGAAGGCATGTCACATATGTAAGTAGGATTTATTCGCATCACATACATAAATACAAACAATTCCTTCTTGGAATGAAACTCCAGTGCGTGGCGCAGTAAACAGGGAAACTCTTTCGGAAAATGAAACGATATCTCATAGAACTGCGCAAGCTGACTTCAGCTCTATCTTTAGATTCAGAAACTCACCATATAACGGAGTTACAACCAAGTGCAAATCGCCATTTTCGCGTGAATCTTTTAAGTTTATGGCGAGTACCGTAGACTGTCGTAAGTACAAAATCCAGGTAGAAGGAAGGCTCTTTGGGTTCCGGTTGCGCAATGAATAAGCACCGTCTGAAAGACAAAGGTGCGTCTTTGAGTAACGTCAAAGCGCAATCGTCGCGCCCGTGACTCAATACCCTTGCGTTGGCCCATTTTGTAGCAGTAATGGCATGATTGCCTCTTCCCTTTTTTGTCCAGGCGGTAATCCCGCGCCGTCGAAGGGTCCGCTGTCCTTGCTAAATGTGCCTGGTATAAGGAATGCTGAACAAAAATTTTCCGGAAAAACGAACGTCGAAATATGCCAAAGTTCCCTTAAAAATGCAGAAAGAATCGAAGTGAATTGCCACTGTTGAGGCATTCAAGATTTCTAGTTCGTAAATGCTAATGTAGAATCATTTTTATACAGCCGTAGTTTTTATTGACCAAAGTTGGTGTAGTGGCAAGGCGTAACGTCCCCAAGGTACAACTGGGGTCAGATCCCGGGTTGGATCTCATTTTTGAAAACATTTTTTGAACAAGCCTTGAGGCTCGGTTATCTGTTCCTAAGCTCGTTTGGTGTGATACGAAAAACAATGAGTTGCATTTGCTGGTCCCTGCAGATCAGATTCAGACCAAATTGCACCCAAGCACACTGATGATTCCTTAAGGCGTTTATTTCGGTGGAAAAGCAGCCTATTAGAGATCAAGGTAAAGTGGTCGGTGGTGCACGGGTTAAAAAAAACTTGAGAGACGGTTCTGAACCCATGATGTGAGATCCTTCTTTGTTCAGTGGTATGGACCTGGCAGCAGGGGCATATTCTTTGCTGCAAAAAGCGCGCTGTCCCTCACCTTAAGGGACCTTCCCGTTTTTCGACTTCGTCTATCCCCTCCAATTTCAAACCTAGACTTGAAAACCATCTTCAATGGAGAGGAATGTCTCATAAGCCCAAACGCTTTTCTTATTCGCTTGTCCTTCAATTCTCTTTATCTCTGATTCTATCCAGCTTAGCAACAGTTCAGTGCACTGGTGCTATTTTATTTAGTTTTCAGTGTCGTTAAATCCCACACGGGTAAGAGGGGCATAAGCTCGGTCTTGGGTGTTGAATGGCGATCACTGGCTTTTAAATGCAGTACTTGGAGTTACATAGCAATTCTCTTGCATACTGTCTATCCCAACTTTCAATTAAATTTCCATATCATGAGCTAAAGAATTGTCGCTGGCTATTGCGAGATCACTATGGGAGCAGAGATTCTCAATTGAGTCCCTTAATATTCCTTAAGGATGATTTATCACACTGAGAAGTTGTGCTTTAACTTTCCATTTTTCGAAGAAAAAAAAAACAGGAAACAGGGACAACTTATTTGTCAGTATAGTTTTATGCTTTCCACATTGCCCTTCTCCGCGGTGATTCCCTCTTAGCCTACATTCCTTCCGTATTTGTTTACGACAAATTCCTTCATTAGTCGGCCTGTCATCGCGACCTGACGCTGCTATCGCTACCAATTTGCGGGCTCGTTTTCCGCTATGAGGGATAGAACTTGTAGCCACTCTAGGGATCGTAAAGTATATAGCTTCTCCCTCTCAGATCAGTTTCCTACTTATAGACTCTATAACCTAGAACGGCTTGAAGTATGATAGACCGTGCGCTCGATATCCACTTTTTATGATTCAAAGTATTCGAGCAATGACCTAGGTTAGAAGAGACAATATAACTTACAAATGATTTTTTCGGGCACCCCCCCCCCTCGGCGCTAGATCGCTTCAACTGAGCGGATCTGACAAGCTTACTGCCTCATTTTCTTCCCTGTTCGGCCAGCTGGCGCGAAACATGTACGGAAGGATCGAACTCGATGTGTAGAAGCTCCAAAAGTCACAGCATTGGTAGAATATGCATTTTAACGCCTTCACCGAATGACGAATGAAATTCAGAGGCATGGCACATCTTCGAGAGGTTAACCAACGTCAGCCACTACTTCTTTCATTTTTCTATAAGCCGAATATTAAAGCAACAGTCCAAGGGTTTCAACCATTCGATCCTAAGGGGTGGAACATGCACTAGCCCTAGTCAAGTACATAGGAAATGTCACTGATTTGAAAACTTACCTTTGAAAGGCGTTGGAAGGGGGT